CCTGTTGATGCAATCAGTGGTGGATGTCTCGAGTTTTCTCTTTGCGCCCATCTGTCTCCTCTCCACTTGGCTGTCAACCTCTCTCACAGCCCCCACTCCCATCTTTCCTCCCACAACTCCTGCCGTCCTCTCCTCTCTCCCCTCCTCGCTCATTATGTATGTCGTTGGGAAAAGAATACGTCGGTTCTGCAAAAGTCAGTTCTTGGAGATAAAGAAAAAAAAAAACCTCCATCCTTATTTTCACATGTCATTAACACCATCTCATTTTGCTATTTTACTCATTTTGCACTTCTGTGTTGAGTTTATTGTTATCTTGCTTGTATGTTGCCTGATTGTGTCTCATAATCTTATTTAATTATAACTGCACACTGCACGTAAAGACAGTAGCACTGATTTAATTTCACCATTTGTTATAAAAAACTTGCACTGGTATTGAATGGATCCTTTGGGCCCAGAGGTCATAAAGCTCCCTCATACAAATTTTCAAGTACAAAAACAAACAGGTTGACATTTGAGAGATTTTTGTCAGACCGAAGTGACAATCTTTGTTTCTGGCTCCATTTTTTCCCTCTCCCATCTTCTTTCTTTCCCACACATACATCCCCCATCCCCCGTTTCTCCTGTCCTCAGGAACTCAATCTTTTTCCTCCTTCTTCTAATTCTCTTAATCATTTCCTCTATTTATTGCTCCCTCTTTCTCCGCATCCTGACTCTCATCCTGTATCATTGACCTGGAAGCCTCTGAGCCTGTTCGCTCAGCCGTGGGCATCATGACCATAAGCCAAGTCGCAGGGCTATTTATATTTGTTCCTAATGAGGTGAGATTTCTCTCCGCCATAGCAACGGTCTCTATGGATACCCTGCACTTGGATACCAGATCCCATCCTGTTTTAAATGTCTTATTATGGGCTGCGCCTTCCCCTGTGTATCGTAGCCTAATTAATTCGGAATTATCGCCCTTTTGCTGTGTGAACGGTGCAGAAATGCCCTCAAATTACCACCAAGCTGACGGCATCAGCACACGTTTACATCAAAATTACAGATTAGAGCTCCACTGATCAATTAGCAGCATCAGTGAGATCAATACTAAAGCACTTAGGCACACAACCTGATGCTCAGCTCAGTTTTTTAAATTGTCAACTTCTGCAACAAGCAGAAGGTAGTAGAGACCACTACAGGTGCTCTCATTATTTCATCTGTAACACACACAGGAGGATCATCTGTCTTCTGTGCGGTATGAGAGAGGCTGATGGGTGTGCTATTGATCAGGTCTGAGCCAAGTGAGGAGCTGGTTGCAGAACAAGACCCAGGCAGCCGAGCTCAGATCATTAGAGGAGCTCTCTGCAGCTGGGTCACACAGGTGTTGAGACCCGCCATCTCGTTTCCTGCCACAAAGCGAGACAACCAATCAATAAAGTGGCAGAGCAACTAGAGAAAGCCACAGCGGTAAGAGTGCACACACACACACACACACACACACACATATATATATGGATGTTCTGTGTGCCTTTGTATTTACAGTAAGACTTGGAAATGTTCCCTCCTTTCTCCTGATGACAGACACTCTGAGACAGCTGCATGCACATGTACTCACACAGGTACACACACACAAACACACACACCCTGACAGGTGCTGCATTGTTATGGCATGTCCAACTCTGGCAGCTTGTTTTCCTCAGACCTCTCGCCCTGTGTGATGACTAAGAGAAGGAGAGATGAAAGGAGATGCAGAGATAAGGGGGAGGAGAGGAGTGGTGACAGTAGGGGATGGAGGGCCCGAGATAGCTTGAGCGTAAGAAGGTTAAGTAAATCATATCATTAATGCTATGTTAAGAGATTGCTTTGACCTCTGCTTGGCTGGCTGCATATGCAAGTGTGTGTATGTGTCTGGCCTTTATCCCACCGAAGCAGGTGGCGGCAATGACGTCCGTCTTCTTCCCACCAACACACTCACGCACACATACACTCACACACTTTCTCTCTGCCGCTCTGTGCTCTCTGGTGTCAGTCCCACTAGATTCTATCGTGCTTGAAATTCACTCATCATATCGGGTGGCTTCACTGTGCTGCTTGCTGACACAAGTGCGTGCACGCATGCAAAGACACCCACACATGCACGCATGCAGGAACACAGCGCAGTGGACTGACTTGATTATACAAGCAGAGAAGCTCAACCTGACAGAGGAACAAGCACCAAAAAGGAAACACGAAAAGAATATAAAAGGCTTATTTGCCCGTGTTGTATAAGCATGTTTCATCTTCCCACTCTCGCCTACCCTCACCCACACAGGTTAGATCCAATAGCTAGTGCCAGGCCTCTCTATCTTGCAACACAAACATCTCCGTGTGAAGGAATATTGCAGTCGAGTTCTTTTTCATAATCTCTTCCCTGTACACCCACACAAGCACATAGTGAGGGGGTGAGAGGGAGACGGGGGTAAAAAGGATAGCTGGTAAAAGAAAATGAAAAGAGAAGAGGTGAGGGGGGGCGGAGAGGAAGAGAGAGAGAGAGAAGTGCTCATGAGAGCCAGGAGGTAGTTGTTATAGTAACTGAGTCTCTATACCTGTCAATCAGAGCTATTTCAGGCATCTCGCTTCTATGGGAAAAAAAGAACCAAAAAATGCACATAACAGGCCAGAGAGCTGTTTCGCTAAGGCAAAATTATCAGCCAACGCTCATGCACTGATCCTGCCAACTTGTAAGCTGTTAGTCAGATCAAATTAACACCATAAATGAGATTTCAGCACTGTCATCCTTACTTTTTTAAAGATTCTCACATTTCTACTTCACAGCGCACTTTATTAAAAGGAAAACGAAAAGCAGAATGACAGCCACAGCATCTGCACATTTGCTGCACCAAAGACAGATTATGAGTAATTTCAATTTCAACACAATCAAATCACTACAAACAGGTATACTAGAGCAGCGCTCTATTCCAACCATTTACCCATTATTTTTAGCTATTTCAACTGCTTATTCATTACTTTTAACTAACTATTCCAACTGTTTATCCTTTACTTTTAGCCAACCATTTCAACTGTTTATGCATTACTTTTAGCTTATTATTCCTATTGTTTCTCTATTACTTTTAGCGATCAATGTATCCAATACTTTTAGCTTACTATTCCAACTGTTTATCCATTACTTTTAGCTAACTATTTCAACAGTTTATTTATTAAACTGGTAAATAAGAAGATCGGCGGTTCGATCCCCGGCCTCCCCCAGCCCACAAGAATCCTTGATGCTGAACCCCAAATTGCTCCTGAAGGCTGTGGTGTGAATGACTACTTTCTTTCTGATGAGCAGTTGGAACCTTGATAGCCTCTGCCATCAGTATAGGAATGGGGTGAATGTGAGCTTTGAGTGATTGGAAAGCTAGACAGGTGCTATTCAACAACAGTTTAGTCAACTGTTTAGACTCCCTTGCTTGCTAATTAGTTTTTCACACACTCTCCATTGCAATACCTAGTATGTTTTAATCATAATTTGTATTTGAAATTTGTTGAGCTACTTCACATCTTTATACATACCCTCTGGCAAACACAGAAACAGCCCATGGGGTACAAGTACCCCTACATGGGATTCATTATATTAGAGAATATGTTTCAAGTATTTCTGTGAAAATATCAACATCGTAGCAAAAGAAAACCCTTGATTCAGCCCTATTGCGGACAAACACATGGTGAGGAGGAGAGAAAAGCGATGAGCGAAAAGAGTGGGGGAGTAAGAATAGTGTGAGCACCAATATGGCTGAGTGCTGAGTTTGGGAGCCATTAGGCAGAAGGTAATTAATACCTGTCACCGCAGTGCTCTGTTCGCTGCCTTTATTCTGTTTGAGACCAATTAAAATATGACACTCCTCTGGTGGAGAACGTCTTGTTAAAATTAAGCGCCTGAGACACACAGACACCTTTGATAAACACATCCAGTGCTACAATTGGCTTTGGCAGCAACGGCATGGTGTATAGATAGATAGGGTGGGAGAGAGAAACATGGCTGTGTGTATGTGTATGTGTTGTGTCACTTCCAGTAGGAGATGTGAGCTGTTAGATCTGATTAAAAGTGTGTTTCCTTTCTTCTGAGTTTCACTCTCAAACACACACATACACGCTGGAGACTGGCGTGATGTTATGAGACGTTTATGAGCCAAGAGATACTGACCATTGAAGACAAGACTGCCAACGATTTGTGGCTTGTACAGCAAGGACAGACGAATGGTAAGCAAAAACAGACGAGCCAGGGGAGAGGGGAAAAAAATGGAGGAGAGAACAGCTTTGGTTCTAAAAAAGCAGGTGGTATTACAAAAAAAAAAAAAAAAAGCTTAGGAGCAAAGGAATATAAGGAATATGAAGAAAAGAGCCTGATAGGAAGGAAAACAAAGGATGGGAGAGCGCTGGGGGAAAGAGAAGTGAAATATGGTGGGTTTTTTTAAAGAGTTGAGTTGAAAGGAACTCAAGAAGACAGATTAGACGGACAGAAGAGAGGGGAAAATGGAGAGAGGTGGAGTGATGGATGCAGGCAGGGGACCAGTAGCTCTCTGCCAACATCTCCATGCATCCTTCCAGACATCACACTGCGCTGCCATCTGCCTCCCTGCCACACACACACACACACACACACACACACACACACAGTGGAGATATGTGAAATCATTAGCGTCTCCTGACACTGAATAAATATCTGGGGATGAAATCTGTCTGTGGAGAAATCACCTGCGGGGAAATATGATTGGATGAGATCACGACCTCACTGGAACGTAATTTGCATGTCATCTAAATGGGATCTGCCCCCAATGCTCAGGAGGTCAAAACGCATCCGATTAGTCGGATGGGACAACTCGATCCCTGATTGGCTGAAAGGAGCAATAATGCAAGTAAACTGCTGCTTAGGGGCTGCTCCCTCTATGAGCTGCAGGACTGCCCTCTTCTGGCTGCTTTACAAATCTCCACAGTTTGATAAAAACACACACAAGACACAACCAGGACATCAAACATTTAAAGACTGGCAAAATCTGGCTAGCAGTTGTTTTTAATCACATTAGAGCTGAGGAATAAAAATAAACACAAAGCATGAGTGTGCAGCACACAGAGTGTCTCGGTTAACCACATACAGAGTCTTATTTATACATATATTTATATAATAGAATTATTTCTCCCACTTGTACAGCCTCTGATTGTAACACAGAAATATACCAACATTCCCTGGGTGAGAGAGAGAAATGAGCGAAAGAAAAAGAGAACTCAGTCATCTACATTAGAAAACCTACACGCCGTTCCTTTTTATAGGTTTATACATCAGCGAGGCATCAGTATTCATTACAAAAATAGGAATATAGATATAGAAGCACTGGGGGTTGATTGAGTGGGTGGGAGAGTGACGATGTAGCTGTGCCCTCCCATCAGTGGCATCCGCCCACCCATCACATACACCCAAACCAAGGAAACATCCTAGGATTCTGTGCACCTTCATGAGTGTTTTACAGCAGTCCAGCCCAGACAAAGAGTCAGTTATCAATGAAAACCATTTAGGGTTTAAATTAAATCATTAGAAAATGAGTATATAAAAAACCTTACAGGCAAAGGGAGGGGTTAGTGCAATGATAGAAGTTGAGATAGAAAAATCGCAGTCAGAACCCAGAAAAACATGATCTAGGATCGAAAAAGGGAGGGTGAGATGAAAGGAGAAATGAATAAGAAGTGGCAAAATAATGAAGAAAGAAGTGCAAAGCAGCTCTGAGGTCACCCTTCACTTGGGTTTCGAGAGCTGCTGTTAGTGAAAGAAAACAAAAGATGAGAAGGGAGGGGGCTAATGGAGATTAAATGTTATTGCTAGGGGGTATTTTTTTATTTGGTGTTAACTGGTGAGAGGAGGAAGGAGGGGATGGAGAGGAGAGTTATTGCTGAGGGTAGTAGGGCTGCTGCTGAGGGGGTTGCTGGGGGTAGCCATGGTAGGGCTGTCCGGCAGGAGGGGCTCCTGGGTAGCCTCCCTGTCCTGGAGACGCCTGGTAGGGCATGTAGGGCATGTTGTACTGGCCGTAAGCATAAGGATTGTAGCCCATAGGCATCTGGAAGTACCTGCATGGACACCACAACAGAGAAAACAAATGTTAAGAGTTAACCAAATTTAACAGTTTAAAAGACATTTCAGCAACAGGTTAACTTAGCTTAGCATAAGGAAACAGCTAGCTGGGCTATTTGCCAGGAAATGGAGACATGAGAGAAATGCCAAATTTCTCTGCAAGAAAACCAAAGAGCGTATTTCCCCCAAAAATTTAACTATTCCTTTAATTTATTAAGTCATTTTTAGCCACAACACTTGACCGAGCAGATCCAGCACAGAGACATATCGTTTCAGGACAACTCAAGGGGTAATTGATTTAGATTGGATGACATGCTTTTATGGTCATCATTCTAAGCAGGAGGATGAAATCATGTTCACTCTATTCTGACATCAACATATTAAGTTATGTCAATCAATTTGTACCCAGAAATCAGGATGTTGTGATATGAAACTCACCCTGGATAGCCCTGGTAAGTAGGGTAAGGTGGTCCCTGGGCCTGGGATGCTGGGGCCACAGGTGGTGGGTTGGTGTTGGGAGGGCCAGTGGGTGGTACATTGGTGGGAGCGGTGGAGGCTGCCTGAGGGGTGAAGCTCGGTGGAGGAGGCCTGGCTGGGGGCTGGGGCTTTGCCTCGGGCTGCTGCTGGGCTTGTTGAGGCTGCTAGGCGTAGAGAGAGAGTAGACGGACAGATCAATATATAACCATCAGCCTCACATCTGCTGATGTGGTCATTAATGTTTGGCTTTGTGAGCGGCTGCTTACAAAGACGGTCCTAGGTGCAGGGGTTGGGCCGGCAGCAGGGGGAGCTGGGTTGCTCTGATAGGCAGGAACGTTGAAGGATGGAGCACTGGGCTCTCGGGCAATGCTCTGCTGCAGCTCCCTGAAACAAGAATTCAAACTGACTATGCTGCAATGTTTCCTTCATATTCATGCGTTAATCGTCCCTAATAAACCCTAACCCATTGGCACTGATTACATATTAAATATGTAAAAAACAAACATTCTTATACAGCAACACACCCTGAAGCTAATGCTGGAATAAGCTCAGAGTGTTAAAATGTAAATCAGACTACACACTGGAAACAAATATATAAAATAAACCCTGCTGATTGGCCTACCTTTACCTCCTAGCCAGAGTGTCACACAAACCAATCAAACAGACAAAAACGAGCGAGGTACATACTTAAGTAGTTCATCCCGCTCTGTCTTGCGAGCGAAAACGATGTCGCTGCATTTGTTCTGGAACTTGAGCAGGATTTCTGTCAAGTCATTGTAGAACTAAGGACGGAGAAACAAAACGGGACAAAAATAAATCACCTGACTTGCAAACCACCTTGACTCACAAAAATAAAAACCCCAAAACAAATAACAGGAGAAAGTTTCTGCAAGATATGCATTACTGCAGCAAAGTTCATCCACACTGAGGCATGTGTGTTCTGGTGTGTTGTGCTGAGTGAGTACCTTGGTGCCTTCGCGCAGGTTGCTGCTGATCTCAACGTAGCTGTCATGTGCCGAAGCCAGCTTCTTCAGGACCTCCTCCCTCTGGTTGGCCTCCGTGTTGGACTGTTTCAGACTGCTAAACTCCTGGTGGGAAGTCTGGACAAAGGTTGAGAAGGTAAGTCACAGATGCAGGAGGATAGCCCATTAAAACCTAAGTACATATATGCACAGTAAATTAAAAATTATTTCTTAACACACTTGCTATAGGTAATGCTTCATTGATTCCACTAAGGAAATTCACATTTGCTCTACTTCTGAGGAAGGTCAAATGTCATTAATCTCTTTACGCTAATAGAGGGTTGAAAAATGCTGACATGTGACCAGATTAAAAAATGGTCTCTTTAACGGCTAGGCTACCTTACTGCTAAATTAATATCTAATCTAAAGCTGTGTGTGTTTGGATACCTGAACTTTTCCCAGCAGCTCTTCTTGGGTGCGGAGGCTGGCCTGTACCCTCTGGTTGTAGGCGCCGTACAACTGGTCGAGCTGGGAGAGTGACAGCTGCTCCTCATTGATGGCCCCGTCCTGGGCGAGCGCCGTCAGGAAGGCAGTGGACATGTCAAAGGTCACACCCTTGATCTCTCCCTCCATGGTCTCCCTCTCTTTCTTCAACTCGTCCAGCTGAGCCAGCTGGGAGCGCAGCACGTTGACCACCTGGGTGAAGATGGAGAAGACGGGGACAGTGACCGAACAGAGCAGTAAGACTGTGGAGTTGGACATAAATCACTTTCAGTGCTCTCTTACATCAGCCCTTGACACCTCAGCCTTTTAAAGACTGCAATATACTGTTTTTTCACTTTAGTATGAAAACAGTGTAGCTGTGGAGAGACATTCACTTCTTCCTCGCTTTTTCCCCAGTTCTGCTTGCTTAGTTATTTAAGGTCCCAAGTGACACACGCGTGCAAAGTCAGCAAACAAAATGAAAAATGGAGCTACTGTGGGGAGGAGGGACAGGGCCATAAAGCACGCAATGTCCACTGGGTGTTTCTGTACAGCAGGAGTCTATGTTTATGTGGCACACGAAATAACTTGGGATGAGGTGACACACCTTTAGCTCAAAAACTAACTATAACAATAAAAAGTAAAGTTTTACATTATTTGGCTATACAAACGGATCAGTACAGGCGGACACACCTCGCTGCCTTGCAGTGTCCTGGTCGGGTTGGCGGAGGGAATGGCAGCATTGAGCTCATTCTCCGGTTTACACAGCAGGGTGATCATTTCACAGTGGGTGTTGTAGCGGTCCTTCACGACCTGGTCCGCCTGGACGGCCTTGTCCAAGATGTTGCGGAAATTAGCTCCCTCTGGGGGAGGGAGGTAATGTTAGAGGGGACAAGAGAGAAGGAGGAAGGAAAGAGGAGGAGACTAGGAGCATTGTCAACAAGAACAAACAAAGAATGGCAAAAAGGAAATGAGAAGGACATGTTTTCAGTGAGAGAGAGAAAGAGGGAGAGAGTGTGAGTGAGTGAGTGTGTACCTGCACGAAGGGGCTTGTAAAGGTCTCCAGAAGGGGTTCTGTTCCAACGCTGGTTGAACTTGGTTCTCAGCTCGTTGTCTGTCGTCTCTTCATCATCCAGCATCTTCAGAGACTAAATACAATACGATACACACACACAAGATCAGAGGATTACACCTTTATTATTAATTAGTCATTTGGGCTGTGTGTAAGTATTATCTGACTTCTGCAAATAATTACGCAGACATCTCATGGAAACTATACAGAACACACTGTCATGTAGGGCCACAACTACCAATTAGTTCATTACATTGATTTATCAATAAATTATATTGTCTATAAAATGGCAAAAAACACACATAACAAGTTCAGAGACCCACAGTCCAAAATATTAAATTTACTGTGACAACATTTAATGCTCTTCTTTCTTCTATTTGAGAGTCCAGAAAAATTACAACCATTATTCAATTATCAAAATTGTTGATGATTTTCAGCACTACTTTCATGTGTTTAAATAAAAGTAAAAAGTCTAAAGTTTTGATTTCAAGTAAATAATATTAAATCTGATTTTTGGCTTTTTTGTTTTTTAATTTTCAGTAATGGCTCTTTGTCTTTATACAACCCAACAGACTCCATTTTGGGGGAAATTAGGACATTTTGGTATGGACTTTTCAACTCTGCCAACAAACTTGGAAGCATTTTGTGTTTTATGTTTTTACTCCCGTCTGTTTATTTGTTAGTCAGCAAGATGTCTAAAAAAACGTGCTGGCTGAAGCTGGTGGAGAGACAGTCCTTGGCCCAAAGATCAGTGGATGAGATTTCAGTGATGTTCCTGATCTGGGATTTCCGCCATTAGGGGAGATTATGAGTTTTTAGTAATCATTAGTTCTTCTGGAAGCGGTGGTAGAAAAGTCCAAGTCAGCTGCTAAACAGCATTTCATTCATATGCTATTTTGTCAAGAAAGCAAAGCCATATGACAAATAAGCTGTTAGAATGTCTGAACTTCTAAAAGTGCCTTCTTTACTTTCCCCCCCCCCTTTACTTTTTTAATTAATCTATGGTTATGGTTAGTAGTAAGATGAGAGGGAAAATCACTGGGATCTACACAGCGCAGTTAAACATGCATAATTCAGTGTGTTTCTCTGCATCTGACCTCGTCCAGGATCTCTCTGTTGCGGGTCAGAAGCTCAGGCAGGTCTTTGATTAGCTGTTCGATGCTCTGCAGGCCTCCCTGTTGCACGATGGATCGCGCCTTCTCAGCAATGGATTGTGGAATAGAGTCTCCTGACAGATCCTCCAGAGCAGCTGGCAGGTTTAGTGATGCCAACACCCTGATGGACAGTTACACATCATCACATGTCAGTTATTAGGGTCTCTAAATGTCAACCTGTGTCCTCCTATCACCATTAAAATCTTACTGAGCATTTTAGTATTTAAATAAAGTTATATAACTATAATTCAAAAGAAAAAGAAAACAAATGAAAGTGCATTGCACCTTCTCTTTGGACAAAATACTCTAATTGTCAAGCATTAGCATCATCAAATTGAGTGGTACAAATACATTAGTGTTATTTAGGGCACTACACTAAAAACAAAAGTACACTCATTGACATATTAATGGACCTACACCATTATGTTATTCATTTTTAATAAATCCATCTATTTCATGGAGACACAAGCACTCAGACATGTTTCATGGGAAAACAATTTAACATGCATGGCCAGTGCAATGTGCACAAGCAGAGCAACGTAAGGTCATATAAACACAGGACAGTGTACCCGTTGCAGAGATTGGTGGCCTCCCTCATTGTTCCCACCAGTCTGTTAACGGTCTCAGCCTTCCTCTGGTTGTAAATGCTCATGGAGTGCTGCACCGCCATGGGGACCATTTTCTCAAACAAGTCTGAAGAGAAAGGAACAACATACACAACTAATTAAAAAAAATGCCAGAGAGTGTGTGTTGTAGCCTATTTAAAAGATCCCATCTTCCACTCTCTACACAGTGAGTTTGGATGGAATTATGCAAAATATCAGCAGCTGGTGCTGAAATAGATCTCGGTCATGACAGCAACAGTTACTCACATAATCACTTCCTCTTAAGTGATTGTGCCTACAAAATAAAAGCATGATAACTCTTTTTGCAGCAATAATTCATGTTGAGTTTGAGCTTTTACTTTGAAAGGTTCTGAAGGACATTCAAAAGATACTGGCTTGCTTGACACATCTCTGAAAAAGCCGTCCGTAAACATGTGATTGGATTCCCCTGAATTTACTCAGGGAAATGAAAATAAGCGTCCATAGTTTTATGATTGATGATCAAACGCTGGGACTCGCGGCGCACACACACACACACACACACACACACACACACACAAGTGCTTTATTGTGAGCATGTGCAAAAGTGTCCTTATAATCAATTTGTTTTACAAGAGAGGAAAAAAAAAAAAAAAGCAGGATGTTGGGATCGATCATACAACTCTCCTAACGAAAGTCCCGCACTCTACCGACTGAGCTAAACGTACGCATGAGTATCAAAGGTTTTGAAGTAATTTGGCTATGTTCTGGCCCGCCATGTAACAGCTTGACAAAAATTTGGCCCGATGCCACACTTATTTGCTGACCCCGTTGTATCCGTTAATGTAAAAGGTCTGAAAATCTTGCTCAAATGACAAGCATTAGAAGCTGTGTTACAACAAATAATCATAGATGAGTAGTAGTTTGATATCTTGGGATTTACAATTATTTAGAGTTATATGAAAATAACAATTATACTTTCATATCTCTCACAGATATATACAACTACAGCTAGCAGTCTCTTAGCTTAGCGTAAAGACAGAAAGGTCACACAATCTGCCTACCAGCACCGCTAAAGCTCACTAATACAATTGTTATCTTGTTTTGTTAAATCCGTACAAAAAGTGGCAGTAACTTCCTAAATTCTTGCCATGAGGTTAGCAGGCAACAAGCGGAGACATCTAACTCTTAACTGAATAAGCCTATTTCACAGAAAGTCAAACTATATGTTTAAAGTTTCTGATGTTAATTGGATCAAACTGACAAGGACTTTGACAGAGCACTTTCTCTGGCAAAACACTTTCCTTTGTCTCTACTACTCAGATGTATATACTTAGTTTTATGTCACTGTTGAGTTTGTGAATCTCACCTGTGAATTTCTGGCTGAGTGGAGGAGTGATGGAGGTGGCTTTGACCAGCGCTGCCTTGCCAATGTGCTCCAGATCCTTGACCTCAGGCACACGGTCGTGGTAGATAAAGTCATTGTCTTTTTTGGCTGCGGTGAGGGCTCGGTTGATCTTCTCGGTCAGGTCCTTAACGCTCACATATTCGTCGTAGCGAGACGCCACCGTCTTCACCAGCTCTGCTGCATGCTGGATGGATAAACAGACCAAAGGAGAGAAGATGGAAATGTTCTTCTTAAATATGTTTATTGGTTTTGATGTGGAACTTCAAGGCATGTATGTCAATGTTTAATATCTGTCCATCTTTTAAAGATTACATAACATTAGAAATAATGTATGAGTAGCCACACTATTTGACAGCTGAATTACTGAGAGTACCAGACACAGTGGGAAATAACCTTAAAGTCATGTGAAAGCTGTGTACCTGCAGGCGAGCGATCTCCTCTCCAAAGCGTTTCTTCTGCTTGGCCAGGATGCTCTGGTGCAGCTCAGCGTTGGCTTGCAAGATGCAGTGCTTGGCCGCCAGCACAGGCAGCACTTCCTGAAAATAAAAATACTGACCAGGGAGAGGCAACCACAGAGCAACACGCAGGCACGCAAACAGATAAATGAACACGCACGCACGATGGCAAGGCAAACCACAAAATGGCAGACGCACACCAGCGAGGTCAAATCACAAATGACATCACAGAAGCCAATCACAAACAGGCATAAGCAGTCAGAGGTGTGCAAACACAACACAAGCGCACGCACACGCACACACAAACACACACATCCAATGCCAACGCCGCGGCCACGACCACGGGGGATGCAGAAAGAAAGGAAGACAACGAGAGAGAAAACAGAACAGGCCATGAGTGTTTAACCTTTCAGCAAAAGCTGCTACACCTTTATCAAGCATCCCACAGCCATATCTGTGTGTGCATGTAACTGTGACAGTGCATGTGTAGGTTTGTTTTCACGCATTCAGGGAGAACACAGAGGCTGCTTAACAGCTTTATTAACTTTAGCATCACAAGAAAAGTTTTATGGATAAATCAATATACTAAACTTGAACTTGGTATGACTTTGATCGTTTTATATGGATTAGGATTATAATAAGGATTATTTTTATTATCAATTAATCTGTTAATTACTCAAAGTGATTCAAATCACAATAACAACAATTTAAAAAAAAGCGTCAAATCCTCACGTCAGAAGCTGGAACCAGGAAATATAAAGCAAAAAATGCTAAATAATAATAAATAACTAATTATTAACAATAATTAATTAGTTGTCAATTAATTTTCTGTTGACTGACTAATTAATTCACTGATCACAGAAATGTGTATTTTAGCGTAAGTAGTTTGTAGTTTACAGTGAGAATGTTATTTTGTCATCTAGGTAGTTACTGGCACAGCGTTTGTAATTCAAAATCTCAGTTTAAATCATTATTAAACAGCATTTTGTCAGGTCAGATGTATTGACCATATTCTACATCACCTCCAACACTTCACCTGGGCATTGATAGGTAGCCTAATATTTATTAACATCTCAACTAACAAGTAAGAAATGTTTGTGTTGTGCAACCCGTGTTAATTTTAATTAAATGCAAACATCTCCATTTAGTAAACACTTATAACTAGGCTCATTTTGAATAGCTGGTGTAAGTACTTTTATGTAATTAACCTCAAAATATAAAATCTGAGGTGTGAAGTAGTGCGTGTGTGTGTGTTTCAGTGTTCGACAGGCAGTAAGTACTTCAGATGCCCATGATTAGATGGTGAGAAACGAATCAGGATGAAAACAAGTCAAACTGCAGCTTAGTAGTAACCAACCAAATCAGAGTGAAAACAGGATGGAAATGGACCAATGAGAACAGAGAGAGGTTGCATGTGGACAGTCCCCCGACATGAGTACAACTCTCCAAGTCTTATATTCCAGAAATACACACATACAAAACAATATGCACAATCAGACAGACAAAACACACTCCAAAGCATACAAAATCCAAACTCTGTATGCATCACACCACACTGAACACATGGCTGACTGTGAATGCATTTGTTACTGCCTTTTTGGGGGGTTTGTGTGTAGCGCCGTGTGTGTTTCCTTCACATACCTTGGGAAGGTTGTCTTTGTACTGGCACTGCTTGAAGGCATCGCCGTAGAAATCTGCTGCCTGATTGGCCAGCTTTGCAATGACAGCATCTTTCATCTTATCTAATGGGTGAAAAAGCCGCATTTAAGAGTACAAATTATACACAAATGTGTGCTCCGCTCAGACCTATCTGTGGTTTGCTGTTTCTTGTTAACACTCATTTCACACAGTTTTGCTACATGATGAAACTGCCCTCACATCGAAAAAGTACAAAAACTTATTTACGAAAACTCACCGTCTCAGCAAAAAATATAGTTCAAATTTTTTAAATGGGTGCTTATTTTATGACCTTTAAAACTGTTAAACTTAAAAACTTTAATAAGCAACTCTGTAGACAGAACTGGGACAGAGGCTCTGTGCATAATTAAATATCCTCTTTATTAAGTGCAACTGCTCTGCTGGCTTTATATCTGCGTGAGTGGCAGATTTGTGATACCAGTGTCCATACATCTGTTAGACACACAAGTGAGCAAAAAGGGCTAAAGGCCCATTTATACTCCTGTGTAGGGTCTACGTGCGTACCTACGCCATAGGCTATGCATGTAGCCATGCATTTATACTTGTGTGTAGGTGTGTCCGTCATTCTGCAAAACGCTAGTCGGCAGTAGCGCTACAGCGTCCACTGTGTTGAATTAGGCTCCGCTAACGTAAACGGGGGTAAAATTGTATACGTGCTGGTGTAGCCTTTTCACATGTTACCGACCGAATGGATCACATTCTGATAGCGAAATGAGTCATTTCGCTCGGGTTGAGACGGTCAAATATATTGATTCACTGTGTTACAGCCGCCGTTTTGGCCGCTAGTAAATGTTACCTCAAAGCGTGGGGTACTTCCGGTCGGCTCGGAGGAATTGCAAGGCTACCCAGCCGACAAATCACAGAGCTTACGGTCTGCGTCGACTCGACGTGTAGTACATTTTTTGAGGTGGTGCACGTCAAGCGACGGCGTAGCCTCTGCATAGCCCCGTAGCCTACGCCGTTACCTACGCCGTCAATTTGAAGTATAAATTGCACTTAAGGCGTAGTGGTCCATGTCTATAACGCACTTTTAAAACTAGGGACTGGGACATTCTTCTTCTGATCCTCGACATGACAGAAGCAGAGATAAATCATAATGATAGTGCTCTCAAAAGTCTCTCCATCAGTTTATGATGTAACCGTCTCAAAGTGAAGATGACGAATGTGTTTGGATGACTGAGGTGACTCTGTACCTGAGGTGGCTTTAAGGAAGAAGACCTCCTGGGCCTGGGCCAGCATGATAATGCTCAGGGTACCCACAGTCTCGGGGGAGATGTCCATGGTGGGCTCCCTGTTTAGCGCTGACAGCACTGTGTCCTTGATGTGGCCAAACGCTCCGCTGGCCAGCTGGATAGAGAGTCAGATAAAGAAAGAAACCGATGAGAAACTCCTGCCAAGACTGGAATTCACGTAAACCTCACTCCTAAACAGTCCTAGCTGCACATCTCTAACCCCAAACCTGCAGGTCACAAGTATGGAGTTTATTTTGATTAGTGAAACAATTAGTCAACTAATCGATTAGTATTCAACTATGAAATTAATCTCCAACTATTTTGCTAATTAATTCGTCATTTACAGACAGATTTCCAGCCTCTTAAATTTGAACATTTCTGGTTTCTTTACTCCTCTATGACAGAAAACCCAATTTCTTTGGGTAGTGGACAAAATAAGATGTTTGAGGATTTCATCTTAGGAAATACTTAGGGCTGGGCAGTATATCGGTATACCGATATAATTTCAAAAGAGATATGAATTTAGACAATATCGTTTATACCGATATAGTTTGATGTTGAGTTAATTTATGTTTCGTAAAGTCCTACCAGTGTTTGCTCCTCTCTCTCCCTCACCGTGCAGCCCCGCCCCTCCCTGTGCGTCTGCACGCAGCCGTCTACTCACAAAGTCTCTAACAAGATGGAGGGAGACAGAGAGCTGGCCAACACTGTTAAAGACCTGGCTTGTAAAAAGAAAAGCACGGTTCATTCAGTATTTCCCACACATACACTTCACTTCGGCGAGCCGCTCAGGTTAGGCGACACATTGTACCATTTATCAGAGAAACACATTGATTACGCTACAAGTCGTATTTGTACCTGCTACCAGGTAATTTTTTTGTAGTCGAGGTGAGTTGAGCTGGTATTGGTAATGGAAAAACGGCCAAAAAAAGCGGGGAACGCTGACTTGTTTGCAGCGGAGACATTAGGTCTGTGAGTAGGAAGAGAACTGAAGGAGGCGAATTGAATAAGCGAGTGATACTTAAGATGGAGAATGAAGTATAATTAAAATGGTGAATAAGAAATAAGAAACAAGCTAAGTTACAAAAAAGTAGTAATATGCCCGCTAACCTAACCAACTAATCTATTAATCGAGAAAATGATCCACAAATTAATTGATAATGAAAATAACTGTTAGTTGAAGCCCTAGTGAAACAGGCCCCAGATCTACTTTTGCTTTGAGACATGAACTTCACTTGTAAGTGTATATGAAGGCCAATTTTTACTGCCAATTGACATAAAATTAATGCTGATGCATTTGACTCGTCTTCACATGTAAAAACAATTTTTTCTTGGTTATGTCATGTCCCCGTCCTCAGTCTGCGAAGCGGGGAATGAATGGTATGTTTTTTCTTTTGATAAATATTCAGGAAATACAGATACAAAATAAAGATTAGATATTGTGGCCAGCCTAAGACACACCTGTGCAATACCCATGCTGTCTGACCAGCATCTTGATATGCCACACCTGTGAGGTGGATGGATTATCTTGGCAAAGGAGAGGTGCTCGCTAACACAGATTTTGACAGATTTGTGAACAATATTTGAGAGAAATAGGCCTTCTGTGTACATAGAGAAAGTCTTAGATCTTTGAGTTCAGCTCATGATGAATGGGGGCAAAAACAAAAGTGTTGCGTTTATAATTTTGTTCATTGTACATAATTGTGTGGTCGTACGCACCTGGTAGTATTTGGCTGCAGCCTTCAGCCCCTCATCGTTGTCCAGGTTTTGCTCTGTGGCGATCTGACTGGCCAGCGCTGCTGCGTTGAACAACACACATGTCTTCTCATAGCCCAAACTGGCCAATGCTGCAATACACAAAAACAAAACACATCAGATAAAGAAATAATTTGCCTTGAGGGCCTTTTTGTTGTCGACTTGATCTGAATCTTAAAGCCATTCTGTTTCTTTTCAGGGACAACTTGACGTATAGAATAACAAATTTTCATATCACACTGGCACATTTCCACTGAATCTGTGACATTAAGACTGCTAAAAAGTGATGACGAGACGGAAAGACTGACACACAACTGTATCGGATATTAACTGCTTTCTGGTTTGTTGAAGCCATTTTCTTTTGTGGAGTTGGCATTTTCTCCAACCAACACTTTCTTCTGCTTCACTCTACATTTTTCTCGCCCAAAGTAAACTGGAAAGAATCCCACGGTCCTGAGCTCCCACAATTCACCACAGAGAACAAAAGATCCAAGCGTGAAGAGAATAAATGTGAAGACTGAACTCAACAAAGAGCAGTCTAAAGAATCAGGGGATTATTTGCTCTCTCATTATTTTTTCCATTTCACATGGACTTGATTTTTAAAAGTTTTTTTTTTTGTTTGTTGCTGTTAGGACCTGTCAGTCTCTGACCCTGACATACATTTATGTTACGAACGAACATACCGGTGTCATGTCTTTATCTTACATACGTCAGAGGTTTATTTTATCTTCAAACCCTACAAGACACCTTGTCAGGCCTGTTTCTGGATGCAAAATACAACAGGGACCTATTTAGTAGTAGAAAGCTGTGTGTGTGTGTGTGTGTGTGTGTGTGTGTGTGTGTGTGTGTGTGTGTGTGTGTGTGTGTGTGAGAGAGAGAGAGAGAAAGTCAGATAGACACATAAAGAAACAGATGAATTAAGACATAGTGTGACAGATATGTACCCCAAGGGCTAAGCCTTATATCGTCTTTAACTGTTCTTAATATAATTTCCTTCTGCAGCCAACTGTACCTGTACACCCACACAGACAGATGTTCCACCGACAGAAATGCACTTGTTAGGGGTTGCACTTACCGAGCTTCACTGAGCCACCGAACAGCGACCCTTTATCAAAGGCATCCTTCCATGTGAAGGTTAAGCAGAGCTGTGGAAACAGAGAGAGGCTTTGTGTTCAAGTTCTTCTGTTTGGGAACTCAAATCAAAATGGCATAATAGCTAAGTGCAGTATCCAAACCTCAGTAGCTGTAATTTTTTGATTAAGGGCCAAATGTGTCACCACATATCACTATAAGTGAAGCATTGTGGTGACACACTACACATCATATTTTCCAGACGTAAGGGAACACGCTTGTTTGGTACAGACACCAGCAAAAAATAACATCACCATCATTTTCACATTTTTTACAGTGTAAACAAAATGCAACAATTAACATTCCCACTAAAATCTTAAATGTGTTAAAATAATCACAATATGATTTTCTTTGCTTATTGTTCAGCCTTAGTGCTGTCTAATTAGGTACCTGGTTTTCAGAGAAGGGAAACTTAGCCTCGACAGCACACAGCTGATCATAGTATCTGGAGAAAGAAAGATATGGCAGGATTAAATAAAAATTATAGAAAAAATTCATAGTAAAGACAGGGACATCTTTATTCAGATTATTTTTAAACTTAAGTTTAGTTAAAAATATTTAAAGGAGAAAAAAAGATAAATCCATACAGTAAATCAAACTTGAGAAACTTAAGGGGTAGTGATTATAATAATATGACATAACCGCAAATCTGTGGTCTGAGGAAGCTCTGCCATTTCAGAGACACTTGACAATGACTCAGGAAAAAAAAATGTCCACATACGCACACACGGCTCCTCAGCTATTCGCCTTAATATTCTATTATTAGGAATGACAACATGCAGAGAGGCCGGTTGGGGAATCCCCTATTACTAGTTAATCCATCCAGCTTTTGCAGGGCCACAAAAGACTGGAGCACAAATGTAATCATAAACAAGACTGGCTTTATTGATTTGTTATCCTTGTGTTTCCTATTCAGACACACAAGGACACACACATGCACGGAGGAAAGCTGAGATGAGGTGTGCCTCCTGGTTAGCCAAGAAAAAGAAAACATCCTAGACCAAACAATGATTATCATGGTGACTCAATAGCGGTGTCTGCACCACTTTGAAAAAGAATACGGCCCGTCACCCTGGATACCCGGCATATGGCTAACAGACGGCATGCGCAGAAAGCCAACAGTGCTAGCAGTGAGCAATGGCGGGCCCATTTTACAAAGACATGCTAGTTTTCACCATGTTGCTAACTGGCCAAGACCAAGTATCTACTAACCCATCCTAAATCTGCTACACAAAGAATTTCAAATGCTCTATACAGTTGTAAGCCAATGACACTTAAACTTAAAAGTTAGTTAATTATATCCCCAGATTAAAACAGTCTAGTTGAGAAATACTTACTTTTCAGGCAGTACAGGTCACTTTCTTTAGATGTTCTCTCAAATACTTAATAAACTATGGACATAAACCAGGGATGCACAGATCCAACCATTTGTCTCCCAGGTCTCAGGTTATATGTCAAAAGACATTGGACATCAGTTCTCCCTTTTCCCCAAATTTAGAATTGGGATGATTTTTAAGTAAAGTAACATAAGTTCAGAGACTGCAATGATGACACTTCAAACTGAGGCTAATACAGATCCATTGTTGAGTCATGATCATCAACCAAGTACTGCGTTTCAGAAAAGCATTATAAAGTCACATGAGTGAAGACAACCTATTGTGTTAAAAGGTAAATAAATGTTTTGCATTACTCCAGTTCAGGTGCACTCAACTTGTCGGCTATTAACACTCAGCACCATGAGCTGGTACAGTCTTTAATATTCAAAGTGCCTAATCTTGGCACTCACAAGACAAATCCACTTTGCACTGCGGCTAGAAAGTAGCTCAAAGTGGGGGAAAAATGTAACCTTGCATGTGCATACCTGGCTACTCATGTAATCTGGACAAACCTTCTGCAGTGAACAGCTCATGTGTCATAGAGAAGAAAGATTGAAATGTGAGAGGGCAAAGTTTGCCTAGTATGTCACCTAGACCATGTTGCTTTTCATACATAATATTAAGGTTAAGGAGCAGGCAAACTCAGGAAAGATATCTGTGGCTTTCTTCATTAGGGCTCAGTCATTACACTGTTTGTATAATTACATAAGGCAGGGAAATAGAGCATTGCACACAGAGGAACTTTGATTAACAAACCTTCTGTCACAGTTCCTCTATGCAAACATGCGTAACACTTTTGACTCTAATCACGTGTATGTTTTATACAGCCAGAGCAAAACCTCAAATCCCTTGGCAGACTATATAAAAGCCTTCTCTGTAGCTCATGTCTCTTCATGCTTCTGATTCTCATTCACTCACAGGTGTTGTCCTTTAAAATCTGCAGCTCTATTTCCTGGCCACTAAGGTGTATGTGGGTCTGAATGTGAAGGACATCCGACAGTGTGCTGGCTGCGCATGGGCTTTCTCACTGGTGCTGTGTAGCTACACAGGTAATGTAACCATATCAAAAAGGTGCTCATGAGGTTGAATGCGTGTGAATGGATTTGTAGGCTGCCGATTTTCTGCGTATATTCACAAGTCATAGTTAGTAGCTGGGACCTCTGTTAATGTCATCACACCAAACTCAGGAATAATATGAATCAGCTGATGATCAGTCTAAAGTGGCATGTGATTGATTGATGATGGCTGGGTATACACCAATTATTGTCATACTGTCACTGTAAAGTTTTATTTGAGCTTGGGTGGTGGGGTTTTAGCTTACGTTTTAAATATTATTTTAAACATTTTATCATGTTCAAGTCTGTGTGTGTTCTGTGTTTCACCTTGGGGACAATAAAGGTTAAGCTGAACGTTGAAGCTAACTCTAATGCTAAAGTAAATTATGTAGAGTTTTGTTAGAGTCATTTCGATGAATAAGCCACAGCTAAAGATCACAACTAACTCGGCTTACAAGTTTAATTTAATCTTAAAGTATCTGACAGTTAAGTTACATAAGTTAACGAGTCAATTCTGTGTTAGCCTCTCAAGCAAACAAGGCATGAATAACATATGAGTCAGTTATTATGGGGCGAAACACCTCCTAGCATATTAGCTTGACTAACATTAGCTCCCAGGTTAGCTACTAAAAGCTAACACATCTGGGTGCGGCAACGGCTGAGCTAACTCGCTGCCACTGGTAAAAAGGTTGCTCCGAGTGTTAGTAACGTGGTAGTTAGTTTAGGTGTGTTATAAAAGGAGGGCTGTGTACCTGAGCAGGATCTCCAGGGAGCTCTCGTGTTTGTCCAGCGGCCTTCCCAGCGCGTTCTTACGGAGCTTGTTCAACTCCTCCACCGCGCGGATATACTCTCCCTGCTCCTCGCCCGCTGGGTACGTGGTGGTTACAAACTTAGACAGCGGTTTCACCAGATCCACTTCTGATGCCTTTTTTAACGGGACTGAAATAAACGTCGCCATTTCGGCCCGTGAAAGCGATATATTGAATCAGAAAAACAGACGTTTAGCGACCAACGAACACAAACAACAGCGACAGGTCCACTTCCTGGATTCTGACAGGGAACGTCACATTACGTCATGGGACACCGAGAAGCGCACTGCGCAGAATCAGGATCTCCTTATTGACCGACAGATATTTATCTGCTCACAGATTTATTCCTGCGATTGGACACCACGGCAGAATTACCTAGGTAGCCCAAGGGCAAAAATTAACTGGTGGGCCCCTATAAACCCCGTGTTCCTCCCCATCTTTGTGCAATGCGTGCCATATTCCTGTGCCAGAATTCTATCGGGCCCCTGGTTTGCGGTTAGGTTATCTGATTGAACACAAATTTTGCACCATACTAATCCTTTTGCTGAATTTATCGATTTAATTAAAAACACTACAGTTTTGTTTGTTTGTTTTTGTTGAGAACATTTGGATCAAGCTTTTTCCTCCTGGGAGTAGGGAATGGTGTCTTAAGATGACTTAAAAGTATGGCTTGCCATATAAAACATCTTGCTAAGGCAGCAAATTTTAGTAGGTGTGACCATCTTAGGACGACATAAAACACCCTGTTAACATGTCAAATTTCGCTGCTACTATTTCACCAATTTCTGAGAAAAAACTCTTCAGTAATTGCAAGATAGAAAATACTTCTCCCCTAAACCTACCTTGTATGAAATTAGGTTAAGATTAACGATAATATTGATTGGATTAGGCTTAAAAAATCACATTAATTAATAAATATTGTGGTGGTTACTTATTGTCAATTAATAAATATTGTGATGGTTACTTATTGTTAATTAATAAATATTGTGATGGTTACTTATTGATGTGATGGTTACTTATTGAGAAACATTGTAGCTTGTATACAATATCATTCTTGACAAATTCATTTAAAAAATCTAATATAACTTTTGTCTTTTAACATTCTGTCTTTTAACAGACTGTTGAATAGGAATCACAGTTTTCATGTTTAAAACACCAAATTTGTGTTCTTGTTTAAAATTCTTTTAAAAACACACACAGGTCACTTTTTATATAGGATTGAGAACCTAGAGGATGTAGAGTATGGTGGCTGTCAGAGTACCTCAGGTTGTTTTTGCCCTTTGAACTGATTTTAGGGCCATATCCTAAACTCTGAAATAATTTGTATTTATAGTAAATTGTTACAATATTTTAAAATAAACACTGAGCACTTTGCAGCACAAAGATCCGTTTCATCTGAAAAATAACAAGTGAGACCAGCAAACAGCGGTTTTATTCTACATCGGCCTCTGTCATCCTGCTGGAGCACTTTATCTTTCCCTCCGACTGCTGTTTTGTTCCTCTACAGGAGCAAAAAACCAGCATCCACCAGAACACCCGGGTGACCTGTTCAACAACACATACACTCACTGACACACCCTTTGAGACATTCAGGTATGAACTAGCAGATGTTTTTGGTCCACCAGGACACAGTTAAACTATTTGTTTTCAGTCCTGTCTGGTAATTGACTGCAACAGCTGTATTCACTCTTCATCCCAGATGTAATTCAGCCTCTGACACAATGGCTAGAGAGAAAAAGCAGGATTGTGTCCTAAACATCTGCTTGGGAGCCCATTGGCAAGTGTTTTGTGCTCTCAATCTGCTCATCACACTATATCAGTCCTGCAACAAAAGGCCATTGTTTTGCACTCTCACATTTGACAGTTGTTCATTCTTATTTATTTTGCCATAGGAAAGTCCAAATATGATTTTCTTGCATACAAAACAAATGCCCTTATTGGTGATAACAAAAATAGATCCTTAAAATTCTGACTACTAAAAAAGGGTTTATCTGGATTATCTAAATCAGGACTGATTTAGATTTTTCTTCTGTTGACTCACTTTAAAAGCACTTACTTTACAGCATTTCTTCCATACCTGCCTAAAACATTTGCACAGTACTATATACACACACACACACACAGTTGTTTTATGTTGACAATGGTAATGTCATAAATGCTTTGTGTTGTTTTGTGCAACTTAAGTTTTCTTCACTGTAATGACAAAGCACTACACCAGAGAAAGTTATGAAATCATTTATTCCCAGCACATGTGGTTGTGTACATCTCCAGCATACGATACTGTGCACATGAGAAGCATCATCATTGACGTTAGGCTGTACATGTATGGTGGTCACCTCTCCTGCTCTCACACTCTCTCTCTCTCTCACACTCACACACACACACACACACACAGCGACTGGTCAGGTCTCCAGAGGACCAAAACTGCTCACCAGAGTATGTCTGACGTGGTATCACACGCGCTCTATTACTCACTAATTTTTGAGTCAACAAACACAGTTTACTGTGTTGGGGTACTCATGTCATGTCCTTATAAACACCACAAGAGCTACAGTCCTGGCTATGGCGCTTGGAGAGACAAAAACACAAATGCTTTTCAGTCTCTAGTCTTTTTTTTTTTTGTTCTCCTTTTTATAGGTGGATAAGAAGAGGGTGTGGCTGTAGGACTACTGACTACACATCAAGCTTGAGTTTTGTGATTTTTCAGTGCAGACTTGGTCTCTAACATCTGGAAAAAGAAGGAGGGGTTACACTCACCAAGGACCAAATTATCCCTCCCTCCCACCCTCCTTTCCCCATCTTCCACATGTTCTTTACTAAACAGCAAGCTAAACACAGTTTCATCATACCATCAGGAAAAAAGTTTATGACAACTACTGACATAATTAAGTTTTCTTTGCAAAAACAAAAAAATGATACACATGCACGCACGCACACACACACACACCCCATCTGACACAGAGGCGTGCAAATTGTATGCACTTGCAACATTTGCTAGACATTGTGTACCAAAATCAAAGGGGGTCAAACTAAACCAACGGTGGCTCCCAGGACCTTCCTGTCACTTTTCAAAAAGGTTCTTCCTGTGTTCAGCTACATTAAAAACACAAAATTCAGAGGATGGATGTGGAGCTACCATGATTTTCTAGTCTACAGGATAAGACTATTGAAACCATGCTACAGCAGTGATACATTTCTAACCAGCATGCTGTGTGATGGGTTGTTTCTTGCAGAGCAGATCCTGGAATGGAGGGTTTATCACTATGTACATGCAGCGCACAAGCAACTCCACAAAGGTTTTAATTTGCCATCTGATCAATTCTGTGAATTCTAGTGACCACGATGTGCAGAGCCAATGAGGCTTTTCCTCAAAAAATGCCTATCAATCTCAAACCCATTTGGTCCACATTATAGTAGGTTTTTGGATAGGCGTTACTGCTCTCATGTCAGTCTTCTATAGAAGTTTCTTACTCTTTTCTTTTGTGCACATTTATGGCCAAAATCCCAGAAGGCGTAAACCACACTCCTCTAAACCAGTGTTTCAAAGTCAGCACAGAAAGCGGGAGGAGACAAAGACAATGATGCGCACTTTGTTCGTGAACATGAGTAAAAAGATTGTGTTAAAAAGCCAATATGGCACCAGGAAAAAAAAGTAAATTCAATGACAGCAATAGAAACAGCTGATTCATAAATAAAGCATAAACTGAAAACAATAAAAGCGCAGGTTAAACAGGACGTACGTTAAGAGAGTTGAGCTGAGTGTGCCACTGTGTCAGAGATATGGCTGGAAGTCTAAAATCACATAGGATAACTATGTGACAAGAGTTAATAAAATCAGTCCATCTGTCAAAGTCCAAGAAAAAAAAACAAAAAAAGTTACGTTGGTGTCAACAGCCCCCCAAAATGACACCACTTCACCAATTTAGCCCGGGTATTTCAGGGGTTATCAAGCTCAGCTGATCAATAAATGGTTTATTGAGACAACCCCTTTAAGAATGATAAACAAGCAGAGCAAGTTGGGATTCTCCTTTAAGCAAGTTAGTATGTTGAGATCGCATGCTGCTTAGCACTACAGGTTATCAAATACTGGCCTAGTGCTGGTTGTGTGCATTGTGTAAGAAGGGCAACGAGCACTAAAGAAACTGCTTTCTTTCCTTCTCCTGCCGGCCAGAACGTCACTCTCCTGCCTCTCTCCTGAAGCCTCCCCCCTCCCGCAGAAACCATATAAAAAGACGAAAAAATAAAATAAAATCAAAATACATACATCATTTTATTTCCCCTAACACCATACTCCCCCCAGTCTCTCCTCTTTTAACTAATCTCCTCCATTAATAGTGTTTTCAATATGAAACAGTGGACACACCCATGTCAGATTCTAACATTTACATGGCTTTGGCGCAGTCTCTCTGCTTTCCATCGAGCAAGCGTTTAGAGAGAACAGGAGGTACAAGGAGAGAGTGGAGGCAGGCAGAGAGGAACAAAGGGAGGCTTCTGCTTCAAAACAGAGGGTGGAGTATTAGTGATGCCATCTGTCCTCACTACTTCAGGATTAGATGGAGTCCTTCGCCCAGTTCATCTGGAGGGAGAGACAAGTGTGATAAAAGGAGAAAGACAAGCATGAAATCCTTGTCAAATAAAGATCTACGGAGCCCCGTAAACAGGCCGCATTACAATGTGGGAGACCACCAGCTACTGACTCTGAGCTCACCTTTGACAGTGCTGATTAAAAAACAGCTCTCATCCGGCAAGTTGTAAACCATCTGGAAAAGAAAACAGACAGAATTGGCCGTTGGTCAGAGAAGAGAATGTAAATTACATGCAAATAAGTGATACTACAGACAGTAGAGTTCCTGTGCCTGGTCAGATAACATACGAAAATGTGACGCACAGTTTATTTATTCCTCTTCACAGAGAGAACGATTCCCAATCCCAGTCATGCCATTTACTCCTGCTCCACTCACTGCATCTCTATTTTAGCATTTATGTGGACCACAGCCTGAAACTGAATTTGAGGCATTTATAACAGCAGCACAAAATACATCTCAAAAGCTGAGTGAGCAAGCTGTCTATCTGTATCCATGCTGACAGTTTTTCCTGCTTATAGCAGAGAGTCCTGAGCATATCCCACAGTTTTCCACCCCTTTAAATA